TTGTTCAAACATTGGTGTTGTTGTGTTTTTAATCAAAGCAATCAGACTTTGGGCAAGCAACAAATATGAACAAAGAGCAAGTTTTAGTTTTAATAAAGGCCTAGGGAGTTAAGATCAGATAGGGTATAGTAGCGCGTAAATAAAAAGATTATTGTGAGGTAGGTAAGCGATATTTGAGTGAGAAGTGAATTCAAAGATCTGAAGATTAGAACTCTTAGGACAAGCTGACCTGTAAGATGTCTCACGAATTTCTGTAGGGCCTAATGGGTAACGTCTTGGCAAGAAGCTGAACAGGCTTGCAGATGGTAGGAGAAAAGCACTTTTTTATTTATAATTTAGATCTGTACAACCCTTGTTATTATTTTTTCGTTGAGGATCCAGACTAATGTTTCATTCTCGAGCTGTCAAAAAATGCATGTTACTGTCCTGCAGCTAGGAGCGATTCACATTTGTGACCACTACCAGATCTGCTGATCAGCATGCTCTACCCTCCCTCCCTTTTGGTGTCAGGCTTTGAGATTGTTTTGCAAAAACTGTAGTTGCAGCATTGCATTACTTTGAGCCAGTCCGAATCATACAGTATGCTGTACATTGATGGCTTTCATGACAAGCGCGTCCCATTAGGTCACCAGATACATCGATACCTAAGGACATTCTTAGCAGTATCACCCTTATACATGCATACATGTATAAAAGTATTTTCTACAAACGCCTAGGAAATCGCGTTTACTTTAAGAAGTATAAAGTATAGAAGTAGCTAGTATTACAGCAACTAGGTTACAGTTTGTTTAGCAGAGTAAAATGAGTGGTGGAACAATTATTTGATAAAATTATGTAGAATGACCCTGTAGAAAACATATGGTTAGCAGAAGTAGTTATGCTAAATTTTCATGACCGATTTTCATACGTACGCATTAGATATTGCAAAGTAATCCTTCAGCTAATTTGATGTTAAAAATACTGCGAAGTGTTATAAAATTATACATTTTAGAAAAGTATATGAGTAAAGGTAGTTATTGACTGATTAAAGCCATTTCGACGCAAAAAGTAGCATTGTATTATTAACTGTATATACATATGTAAAATATTAAAAGGTGTGGTTGCTAGTATAATTATTTCCATAGTTACTTATACCAACTCAACTTTGTTGTGCATGGCATCGAGTCTTATTCTTGATTTATATCCAAATAATTTAAAATATGTGGTACACTTGTATAGTTTTGTCAGCATTTTCGTCGTAACATCACAATTGAATTGTATTCAATGTAGACTAACAATAATCATGGTCTATATTTTCTTATAAACGGGTGTTTTCAAGAAATGCAAGCTATATTTACAGACACGATCAGTTATGTTAGAAATTACAATCGTGAAGCATTATAGATTAATACTTTTTCATTGGTATAAAGGTACATTCCACAACTGTAATCCAGGTTGCGTCGCGGGGGAAGGTAGTGCGTAATTCACGAGGGAATTGTAAGATATGGGTCCAATAATGTTTGCAGATCATTTGTCATTGTAAATAGTCAAATATCCACATTCTTCATTCTCATTCAAAAAGTCATATGGAAGCTAAAATGGTGAGAGAAAAAAGCAGACAAACAACGGCAACACAAAAGAAAGCAAGTGGAGTCCTCAAGGAGTGATTAATAAATATATACGTATATATTCTCTTTAGTACCTGTGGTTAGTTTGGTACACTAACTAACTAGTTGGTGGTATAGCGGTTAGGACGCTCGCCGACCATGCACATGGTCCGGGGTTCGATCCCCGGCCGACGCGCACCTTTACCTCTCTAAGCCATTAATAATCCTGGTAAAGAGCAAATGTTGGGCATAAGGCTAGCAACCCCATCCTGTAAAATAAACTCTGCTACAGAAACTTCAAGCTCGAAGCCCTATGTTCCACTGGGGAACGTGAAGGAAAATTTTTTTTATTTTTTTAACTAACTAGTCCCGTTATACTAACTTTTATATTATGTGTGAACTAATATTATTATCCGTTTTAGAAATGTTTATCATGTCCTTCCAATGATAATGAAATTTATAACTGTAGTTTGTTGTAACTACACGTTTAATAAACTTAGAATATCTATGTGGGGTGAAAAAGAGGGTGTAAGAGTCAGACGCAAAAGTGCATTGTCATCTTTGATCAGTCTGGTGACTGAGGAGATGAACACTGCGAGTGTGTTTGCATCACGCACATCAGCTGGTAGTCTATTCCAAACGACTGAAAACTTGTCTAAGAAGAAGTTGAACAGCATGTAAGTCTGACAACGCTCTATAGCAGCTAGGTTGTGATGATTTATAAGATTGTAACTGATGACAGCGGTATGTTTAGTTACTGGCTCGGAGGAGTGCAAGAGAAGATTAGTTAGCTTGTTGTAAAAAATAAGGTTTAGCTTAAGACGTCCTTTCCAGAGTGATTTTAATCTTAGTCTGTCACAACGCTCATAGTATTCGAGACCACATTCTAAACCAAGAGTTCTTTAGGTAAATTGCCGTTGCACTCCCTCTAATTTAAGCTTGTCATTTTGTCTGAGTCCGCTAAGAATAAACGTCCAGTATTCTAAAATAGGTCGGACATATACTTTGTATAATAAAACCCTGGTTTCACAACAAAAGAAATTGCGAGTTATGCATCCTATCAGCCTTCGTGTTTTACGTCTGGCATAACCAGTTTGTTCAGAGAACGTTAGGTTACTGGAGTATCTGATACCGAGATCTACAACTGAGTTGAGCTTGACTAGTTTTTGCCCACTTATTTCAAGAGTTAGGCCAAGGTTACTGTCGCCAATACAAATCCAGCCGCATTTGTCAATGTTAAACTTTAGGCAGGATTCAGCACACCATGTTGCGAGACCACTTAGTTCAAGATGTATTTTACTTACCATATCGCTTAATTCATGAGTGTAGCAGGAGTAAACGACTTTGAGGTCGTCAGCATATAGGAATGGTTTACCTGAGGTGAAGCTGTTGCAAATGCTGTTAATGTAGACTGTAAATAAAAGTGGCCCTAGGACACCACCTTGCACAACCCCACTTGAGAACTACCTAGAATGAGACAATACACATCCTGCTTTGGTTATTTGTATCCTGTTGCTCAGAAACGATTTTAACTGGTTCAGTAATGGATTGTGAACTCCACATGAGTACAGCTTCTCAAAGAGAATACTGTGAGATACCATGTCAAATGCCCTATGTATATCGGAGTAGAGAACAACGACTAGCCTACGTGCTTCGCGACTACTAGTGGTGTAGTTGAGAAAGTCGAAGTGGCAATTAACGCAGAATCTATTTTGAGAAATCCATGTTTAGATCTTTTTACGAGATCTCATCTAAATAGTGTGACATTTGTTCTTTGACAACTTTTTCCATGATTCACTAAAGATTTGTGGTTTTGTTTATTGGTCTTCAAATGCTTAGGTTTTCCTTAACAACAGATTTGTATTGTGGAATTATGAAGCTAGTTTTCCACTCATTATGGTAAGTGCCAGTGACCATAGATATTTTTAAGTATTTAAGAAGTAATAGGGGTATACCACACTCGCTGTTTTTGAAAATTATTGAAGCAAGCCCATCCGGTCCGTTGCTAGCAGAAAATGTAGGGCCTTTAACTGCTTGTTCTAGTAATTGATTGGTGAATACCATGCTTCCGAGGGAGGAGCTAGTAAGGGGAGTGGTTTCACGAATCACGCGTGTTTCTAAACTAAAGCTTTCAAACCACTCCTTGAATAGTTCACAGATGGTGGCAGGCTCATTGTCGTGTTTGTTGGTAAAAGTTGTAGAATTGTCTTCGGATGCGGATAAGAGGTTCTTGCAAAAATCAAAAGTATACAGCAGGTTGTGAGTGAAGCAAGGAGATGGTATAGACCAGTGGGAAGACGAAGTGACCAATAGAACGCTGTATTTCAGATTTAACTCGGAAGTAATCTATTTATCAATCTAAATCGTTTCAACCAAAGTCATGTACAGTATCGCTAATTTCAATATCAACAAAAAGGTGTACAATCATATAGTTACGTATTCCAAACTTTTACTGTAACCACATACGGATCAAATCTCGTCGAGAATTTCGAGATATAATTTGAGATTACAATAAAAAAGAGATTATGATTGCTTAGCTAGACAGGCTTCGCATACGAACCACTGGACGCAACGCAATCATGTGCTTGATGTCAAGGATGCATGACTGCATGCCTTCAGCCCAACCATTCTATTTAAACAGTGTAGGTCAACACCGGTGCTGAGTGTAGAATGCTGTGGACTAGTCATTTTCAGGAATTATTTACTATTACTTGCAGATTACGTCACAGTTTCCTTCAGGAACCCAAAATGTTCAGACCACTTGTTTGATGTATTTCATACCACGTGAATCGAAAGGCAAGCAAGATTGTATGACAATACATACTATTGATTAGTGCAAGTGACTGGAAGCCACCCACTGCGCTAACTGAGCATCTGGATGATTGATTCAGCCACTATCAGGTAAAATATGAAGCTGCATAGGTTTCCGACTGCGGATTTCATTTTGACGGATTATTTGCAATATATATCATAACTATTTCTTCGCACTAGTGTCCATCTGGTTGAATTTCAAATCGAGGTTCCTAACAGCACCACACTTTATCCAGAGATATGGTCCATGTATCACGCTGTGAATCAGTAGATTTTTCCATTCTATGCAGTGATCCAGCCTGAAGTAAGGTATAATTTTCACTGCACAGGAAATGTTTGTCATTGTTGGTCTAAACGCTTGCCTCACTAGACGGTAACTCTTGGTCGAAATGAGAAATATCACTCCGGAACCATATTGGCGAGATAATTATAATAATATTATATGTATTTCATATAAACTTATAAGTTTACATGAAAATGCATGCCATTTTTACAAGCACGATCAAGTATGATATGGTGTCATATCGTAGATTTTCTACAAGTAAATAATATTTCAACAGCTAAGTCTTTGAATTATATGTATATACACTCATTGTCTGAATCAGGCCGTATAGTTACCGAATTGTACAGTTGTCCTCCAGGTTGAGCGGGAAAATCGACTTCGTTTCGTTTTCAACCCGTGGTCGTAGGTATACGATAACCAACCAATATTGAGGTAAGTACAACGTTTACAAGGGATTGAAAGCTGTTTCAGAAAAGTGAAAGTGTTAAGGTGAATCATTAAAGTGTAATGGAATAAGTAAATGCAATATATCATTAATAAATGCATTTATAGAGGAAATACTGTGGGAAACTAATTAATCCCTGGGCTAACAACGTTCATTTGCAATGTATAATAATACCAATATACTTCGTACTATCATGATGTCCACTTATCCAGCCTGAAGTAAGGTATAATTTTCACTGCACAGGAAATGTTTGTCATTGTTGGTCTAAACGCTTGCCTCACTAGACGGTAACTCTTGGTCGAAATGAGAAATATCACTGCGGAACCTTTTCCAGCATAAAGGAAGCGAGGTCAAATTAATTAATGTGGTTTGATGCAACTTAAAATTTATTGGACATAGGGAGGTGCCCGCAAATAACAAAAGTTGTGCTACTGTGTGTGTTGTGGTGAAAAAAAACTCGTGTAGATAAACGTTAGTCAGTGTTTTTCTCTTTTTCTCTGTGGAGTCGAACACCTGAACCAGAAGACTCAGCAACTGCAAGGTCTGAATTTCGAAGAAGATAATAAAGACTGTAATACTTAATCATCACACTTTTTAAATCTTGATTTATGTGGGATAAACGTTCTCTTTGCACCTCGTGTTCTGCTTTCACTGTTGTGGTCTCTGTTGCTCAGCTGTTTACAGTGGTAACCCTGGTAACTTAATCATCCTATCTTGTCATTCGTTCGACAGACTGTCATATGACAAAAAGTATATATCTTTTGTGTGTGCTATATTAACATTACCAGTTTCTTTATGGGAAACAGTTTAAAACCATCTTGATACCTATTGGTTCGCCTGATACTGTGCAGAGATAAAATATATTTTAGAATAAGTTAACGCTGTCCGCATATATTTTGTTCAAATACAGTGTTTAACATTTCATTTGCTGAAATGGCGTGCTAAAGTCAGTGGTTCCCTTATATTGGTTTCGTAAATAGTTGTACTCATGTCTAATTGCGTGAGAATTTAGATACTTGTGTCTAAACTAAATATAGCTAGTATATGTATGTATATGTATTAGGCCTGTGGTATTCGTCTTCAGTGGAAGTCCCACATTGCTGTGACAGAGTCGACTTTTGCTTTAAAGATGTCCTCCAACAGGGTTCTCCTCTAGTCCATAATTCCTTGGAAGAAACAAGTCGGATGCAGGTGGTTCGAACGCGTTTGTTTAAAAGCTCCAGCCAATGCTTGTGCATGTGTTTGGTTTTAGGATGAAGGAAAGAGTAAGGAAAGATTGTGCACTGTGGTAGAGTATAGTCGTAATCATATATGATTCAGAGTAATAAATTGTGCTCTAAACGTCACCAGTAAATATTACTGTATAACACTGTGGGACTTTATCAAAATCACTTCGACCGACAACGAAATTGTTCTTCCGACTCCACAAAAGCAAGACGCAACTTTCTAGCACAACACCGTTTCTCGGTCGCCGAGGCGACAGTAAGGATTAGTCTGCTTGATTCGACCTGCATATGTGGTGTTAAAAGTCGCTCGATCACTTTGTCGTGCATTTTTTGATATCCTTCTAACATACATGGTTCTTATGTAGTATGGACTCGATGCTTAGATTCAATGTTTCATGTGAGGTTAGATACTTTGGATGTAATGCCCATAATATGTCACTGCCCCAAGTTTGCAAAAGCGTCTCAGAAAGCCTTTTGTATTCCGAAGCCTCCTGTACTTTAAGGTTCACTTTAGTCTTCAGATGATGACTTACAACTGCTCCGGAGTCGTTATACACAGTGACCGTTATTAAATCCATTTGTTGAGTAACAGTGAATGCCTTTTAAAGGGTCCGTATTCAAAATAATTTTCCAAAAAAAGTGCTAACATCATTCAATCAGCTTATCTAAACTTTCAAAACAGGTGTCAATGCTATTATATAGAGCCTTACATGTCATTTTCAAGCTCACTTCCTGGAACAGGTCTTTCGTGTTTCTGCTGAGTCGCACCAGCTGTGTGAGGGCTGTTTATACTAACCAGTTCCACACTTTCTTACCGTTTTATTGATTCCGACACCTATGGTGCCGAATAAGAAACCATACTAAAAGCTCTGCTAAGTTCAGGGAATATTGCATATGCCGGAATATTTATATGAATTGCTCGAAACCAACTTTATGTTGCCGAAAGGTTTTAAAACAAAAATAAGTGGGCCATTTGATGTCCTGTTCGATGTGTTACTGGTTCCTATACAATTGGTGGATGGTGGCTAGCAGTGGAATCCAGGATGCGCATTTCGTCCTATTTGGGACTCATCATCTGGATGTACCTGCATTTCTCAGTGAGTGATGATGTTCCCACCGAGGCTCGAACCCAGTGCCTATAGTTTCAAACACCAAAGCGTTATCCACTAGACCACTTGGGCCACGAGAGCCACCTCTTGTGCAACGGGTCATATTAATTGTTGAATTGAATTTTTGATTTTCCCGTCGATTGATTGGACAGAAGTGCTCAGTTTCAGGTTGACATGTCGGCTTCTTGTGCAGATGCTTCGACGATGTCTGGGCATTTAATTACTATACAATTGGTGGAGACCGAGCACTTCGGTCCAATCAATCGACGGGAAAATCAAAAATTCAATTCAACAATTAATATGACCCGTTGCACAAGAGGTGGCTCTCGTGGCCCAAGTGGTCTAGTGGATAACGCTTTGGTGTTTGAAACTATAGGCACTGGGTTCGAGCCTCGGTGGGAACATCATCACTCACTGAGAAATGCAGGTACATCCAGATGATGAGTCCCAAATAGGACGAAATGCGCATCCTGGATTCCACTGCTAGCCACCATCCACCAATTGTATAGTAATTAAATGCCCAGACATCGTCGAAGCATCTGCACAAGAAGCCAACATGTCAACCTGAGACCGAGCACTTCGGTCCAATCAATCGACGGGAAAAGTGAAAAATTCAATTCATCAAGTGTTACTGGTTCATTTAGAGTTCGTAAGGATGACATTAATAGTCTTTTTCAAAACTACTAGTACAGAGAATAACGTGCTGTTTAGCAGGCTGAGGGAAATAAACGTTTTCGCGGTGGTCTAGCATAAAGTGAAGTGAAAACCTTCGCACAGGATCTAGACTAACAGTTCCCCCATTTATTATCTATGTATCAGTCAGTCTTCTGTCTTCATTATTTATGTCGCCACCTGCAATATTATTCTTATTATCGCTCTTGCAGCGTCTAACACTTCGTCAACGCATGAATCCCCTCCATTGTCTATACTTTCATGTATATTTGAAGTTATGCATATTAGGGTAAACTTTAAAGAAAATCTAACTCGAAACAATATTATTCATGTTGTCTTTTGATTTACCACTTGCCAACTCATACTCTATTAAGTTAGAATAGCTATGGGTTTGGAAACTTTGGTTATTGAGCATTTTAATACAAATTAGGCAGTTATCAAATGATGATACATAAATAGGTTAATTAATCAATTTAGAAGTTTATGGGAGACTGATCACTACAACCAGAAAATGATTACCTCTTCTATAGTCGTAGTCAAGCATTTCTGCTCTGCGTAGACCAACCACATCAGTTGTACATATTCGGTCAAACGTTATGTGAATAGAGGTAGTCATAATTCTCAGTGGATTTCATCTACATCTAGCCCATAATCGTTAAAAACGTTTAAGTTTACAGTGTTCCATTATTAGTGACAATACCTGTGAAGATCATACCCATTAAAAGTTTCACTCACTAGTGTTGAAAAAACCATCTTACCTGCTAAAGCGCAAGTCTACCAGCCAAACATTTAATTTCTCATGACCTTCCAAAACTCCTATATGGTGCATGGTGTATGGATTTTTATCAGCTTGTGGGTATATATTATTATTAATGCTGCGAAATTTGTTCTCCTTAACACTGGATTCTTGTTAAACAAACCATTTTTTCCTCTCTGTAGGTTCTCTTTCACATCAACACCGCAGTATGCTACTTAGGTATTTATGGCCTCCTTTATGGTTGTAAAACCTGGCTATTGAGAGTGGAGGTCATGAAAAGGCTATCTTTGATCATAGGTGCCTGTGTTCTATATACCGTGTGATGTGGTTTAGTAAGGTGAGCAATATTGAGGTTAGGCTTCCGTCGAGTACTAGGTAAGGAGGGGAAATCAATCGACGAGGCTGTGAAATTACATCGACTGAGATGGTTAGGATGTGTTACGTATGCCTAGACATCGCCTTCCTCTACTGACGGGTAATGTTAGCTGATATAGGGTCTGGCTGTAAAGGAACTAGCGGCGGTCAAACCAAAACATGGCACTAATCAATGAAATCTACAACAATTAGTTTAAGCCAGCCACGTAGGAAGCTGTAGACTTCCTGACTGGTTGGGATCCTCGGGACGGTAAAAATCAATGGTTAGAAACAATTGGTGACATGACTCAAAATGGTTCTCAATGGATGGCTGGCGCAGATGCATCCACTCCTTGTGACTTGTGATTTCCAATGAAACTGTTTTGTTCTTCGATACTGCTATTCCTTTATCTCACACCTCTGTTTACTGTCTCTATTATGCATTACTTCTGCTTTCTTCTCTTGCTTTGTGTGCTACATGGAGGGGGGGGTGGCGACTTCAACTGCTGCACATCGGTGCGAAGTTCTCTATTGAAAACAGACAGGTATTTGTGGTTGAAACATGGTGTTTCTGTATCTCTACTGTTCAGTAGGTGTATGATAGCAATACATTGGAAGCAGGTTTCTCAGTGTTCGTTTGCGATCTGATGTTTCCCAACCGAGTTATTCGAAAAGACATTACTGTAGTTATTAACTTGTGCATGTTTGTCGTTTTTGATACAACAAATTATTTCATTTAGCCTAATGTTAATTTCTTGTTGTTGAAAACTACAGATATCTGTCAATCATGCAGTTGAACCAGAGTGAAGTTATAACTATTCAAGCAGGATCTTTGGCTAACCAAGTTTGCACTCACTTTTGGAACATACAAGAATACGGCTTCACTAACAAGCCAACCACTGCTGAATGTGAGTTTCCCTTTACATATCAAGTTCTGTTTGATGACAGTATCCGCAAATTAAAACCACGTGCATTGGCTGTTGATGTGCGTGAAACTGTTGACTTTGGAACAAAGCTTAATTCACAATTAATTCCAACCTTTTGTGATATTCCACTCTGGAATAGTCAAGTGGACCAAGTTATACGTTCGACACCTCAGTCAAACGGAAATAAACATCTTTGTTCTAATTGGACTAACTGTTTGTCGCCTTCTGCACACCGGACGTGGTGTCATGATGATATTCTTTACAAACTGCCAGTCTCATTACAACCTATTCCTACTGAGTTCACTGATGATAAGACTGATCAACCGAATTCTATAGTCAGTCTTTCTACATTCACTGAAGTAAGTGCTAATAATTTTCTTGTTGTTTATGGATCACAGCCTGTGGTTTTCACATGCTTCATTCTACTTTTATAAGGATTTCAATACTATGTGTAATTTTCCCGGCCGGTAACTGCTACGTTGTCGTGGTGGTCGGGCTTGAATACCGTAATGACCCAACATACTGAACTGACTGGGACCTGTCCCTGCAGGTCCTACCATGTCGGGTAGGTTGTTTGGATAGCGGTTAAACTAAAAGCAGTTACCATGGGGTACAGGGGCTCCAGTATCCAATCGGATCAAATGATCTATGAACCCATATGGGTCACCGGCAATCATGGGAATGCAGCTCCTGACGCTGCTCCGCTGCCTTGGGGATTAGACTCCAAGTCAAAGGCTCGGGGGTGGTCCCTTCATAAAACCACCTGCTTCGGTCTGGGCGCCCGGGCAGTATCTCAGTCCTCACACAATCAATTGAATAAACAACAAACAATCAATGAAACTTATCGCGTGCTGTTACAGGTGTTGCAGTTTCCTTCTTTTTTCCCTTCCCGATGATAATTAACAAATACTGTTTGAACTTGTTAAGCGTGACTGTTTTCCTTCCAGATGAAGTTCTTTATCCGTTCTCTACTTATATATATATTTTTCTCTTCTTTTTTTCTTTTGATCTATGTTGTTTCATTATTATTGTGTGGCGCATCCTTCTTGGTGCCATATTGTACAAAGTTTTTATGTGTTTAAATAATAATAAATAAATAACTTCGGTATAAACACTTATCGGAGGGCTCACCTGGCATAACAGCGCCAGTGTTTGATGTTTCATGTCACAGCTCTACTACATTGTAGGCTAAAACCGCTCACAGACTTCCAATTCAGGTTAAAACCAATCCAGCTAATGAGACGAATGTTTGACAGCAAATCTTGATACTTAAACACAGTAAGATATGCAACTCAGGCTATTTATCCTCATCTCTCTCTAATTATGTAATGGATTGTATTCACAAGACTGCTTACATATTCTGGCGTATGTGTTTGGAGAGGACACAAGTCGTCTTTCGATTGCTGATATCATCTTGCGATAACAGATTTGATCACTACTTGGGAATGTGTTACGAATGTCGTCGCAACAGCTTTCATACATACCGTCCAGTGTTTGATGACCCTGAGAGTAGAGGAAAAAAGAGTTGTGGGATAAAAGATACTTGCGCTGGTGAATTACTACTCCCTCGGTTGGACTCCCGTAGACCGTGTGACCGAGTGGTTTAAGGTGTTGCTACCAGGTATGGTTAGAATCGAAGTCAGTGGCGAATATATGTCACGGTTTCCTCTTCCCTTCTATATTCAAAGGTAATGTGTGAAGTAAAGGAAGATCTTATAAGTATATTTGATAAGTATGATTCTGGTATGTACTACTGACAAGGCGTTGTAAGTAGTATATTGTGTGATTTATTTTGCAAGTATCCTCTATAACGGCGTAGTGGATAAATTTACAAAGACAAGAAATAAAGATAGTGTCGAAGTAATACAGAAAGTATGAAGTGAAGGTAAAACAGGCGGAATTGGGATACTTCTTGTAATTTAAAGCTTCAATGTAAAGTTTTCATTATCTTGTCAAATAAACAATTCTTGGAGAAAATAAACAGTCTATCTCCCAGAATCCAGTTCACTTCGGAATCAGGCAGAATCAGACGTCGGTGAACTACCATTTCTAGACTGTCTGGCTAGTTGAGAGAAGGAAAAAGGGACATTTTAGTATATCCATATTCAAGAAGAAAACCCACTCCAATAAATATTTAGACTTCAAATTGTCACACCCCATCAGCGCCAAGGTATCAGTTGTTCCAAGTCTTCTTAGACGAGCACACTCTCTCACGACGGACGAGCAAGGAAAAGAAGAAGAAGAAATATCAAACATTACTGAGACTCTCAAGCTAAACAACTACCCAACGAACTTCATCAACAAAATTAACACTGACACTAAGTATGGTCGAAAACGCATTCCGAAAACATGGACCTAAACAGTTGTCATTTCATATAGAGCGAAAACGTCAGACAATGTCATAAGAGTACTCGATAAGCTCGACATCAGAGTTTTCTTCAAAACATCAGACAGACTACGAAACAACCTTGTCCATATAAAAGACCAAATCCCTAAAGATTCTCATTCAAATTGTGTCTATAAAATAAAATGCTTGGAATGTGATGCGATCTACATTGGACTAACATCGTCAGAGAGAAACCAAAATCAGAAGAAATGAACAACGTAGAGCCACATCTGTTCGACCACCGAGAAATCTATTTGAACTAAAAAAGCTTGGAAAATCATCAGCCAGCCATAGCTTGTCTACACGCTATAGAATCAGGCCACAAAATTGATTTTGACAATATTGAAATAATCCAGAAAGGGCATTCCATAAATCACAAAGAACGTCTAACATCATCAGAAGCACTTCATATCAAGTGGAATCGAAATTGTCTGAATAAGAATTATGCACTAAAACAGAATTTGACCTGGTTACAACACCTCCCTCTCCTCCCCAACGAAGTGACAAAATCAACACGAATGTGATAAGCAGGTTCACTATGTGAACACACACTGGTTTTATAATTATACACACTGATCAAATCCAACAATTTACACCTAGTTTTTTATCTTTACCAATTGTCCAGTTTGACAGCGAAAAGTGACCCAATACTGAGGAACGATGATTAAGTTGTTACATATATGCTGAAATATGCTTTGATAAAGCTATTCGCGTTAAATAGCAAAACGTCAGTGAAAACAATATCGTTTTGTTTTTCATTCATTGGGAAACACAAGAAAACCCTTATTATAATGAACAATTCTGCTGCCAAATACTACTGTTATATCGTTACATCTCTATTTGTTTTATTTTATAATTTCTCAAATGATATATTTCTTCTTTTCTTATATCGTTGGCTCATCTCTCGGTATTCGCACTGCATCAAGTATATATCTAGATGCTTAAGATTTTTGAGTCTCTAGTGCTTCAGCCATGCCCAGATGTCTTTGTCACTCCCTTTGAGACGTTTAATCGGATATGGTATATGACTTTGAAGGACTTTTCAAATATAGCTGTGTCTTGAGCTATATCGTCGAGCTATCAATACACCTACGGTGTCACTTTGTGATCTCTAGGCTCACTTTACAAGAGGACGCGCGGTACGGCCGATATACTCAGCTCCACAGAAGCAAGTGAAATGGTATGTTCATTTTGATGTGGTCCAATATTAAAACTTGTCGTTGACTTGCTGGCCGAATAGTTTCTTGAGCGAAAATGTTACTGATGCTGTTGCAGCTAAGTGCATTCTTCCAGTTCACTTGCTGCTGCGGAGCCGAGGACATTGCCTATACTATACATCCGCTAGTAAAGCGAGCTCGGGAATATTATCCGGCCTTGCAAACTAAGGGAGAACGTCGTAGGTGTCTTTATAGCTTAGTAACGGTACATATTCACTCCTTAACTGTAATATTTAATTTATTTATTCCCTTAACATTTTTGTTTATTTTGTAAATTCTCATTGTATTATTCATACTTAACTGTATAGTTTCTTACTAACTTGATTTGCTCTCTGATATGTAGATATTGAATGTGATAATGCATATGAGTGTGTAGTAGTAATGTGAGATTCTATGTTTGACACGGTCCCTTTAAAATTACTCTATGAATATATGAACTTTTTATCAAAGTTTTCCTAATATTAACAGAAGGATAGGAAATACAAAAAGACACTAATAATACTTAAGTTTGTATTACCAAACTGTTCTACAGATCTTATTGATTGGTTGAATTTCAAGCTGCCATGCTCCCTGCAGCATGTAAAGGTAGAGAAAAGGTGGGGAGGAAGAGAATTCAACAGAACTGTAATAATTCAGGCTTTTCTATCCAAATCGCTAAGGCTTCGGCAATACAAAGTATACGGAAGCTTGTCGATTTTGGAAGGCTTCTTTTGACTTTATAGATGACTTTGAATGACTTCTCCTTGCAAATCGAATGACCAGTGTTGAGTACATGCTCAATAATGGCGCTCCTTATTGCTCCATTGTTACCTTTCCGTAGCCAGGCGGGATAGTGTTCTTGAACTCTTTTAGATAAAACTCGCATCGAACGACCTATATACCTCGCTCCGCAAGAGCAGGTGAATCGGTAGATACACAATGTCTTAATGGGTATTTTTCGCGAATTAAAAATAAGCAAGGACCCTCTGACAGTGAAGGAACTGAATGGGTTTCTGCGGTATTCTGTCAAGCTTGCTGAAGTTAATGCGAAGATTAGTTTTCTCAGAGACTGTATGAATAATCATGAATATCCCAAGTGGTATTGGAAAGCTCTACGTCGCAATCACATTTATCCGAACTCGAAATCCCTCAAGCGTCATACCCTGAACCATATTGATTCCATAATATCACGTGTGCCAGAACTCGAGAGGAACATAGCGCAACGATCCTCTGCGTTACACGAATTGTCTAGTGATGAACGACAAGCATTTACCGACTATGTCACTCTGGTTACGGAGAAGCGTACACAAGCCATCCATTCTAACTTATTGAAAAGTCTCAAAGCTACAGAAACACGAAGCAAGTTTCCAGAAGATCCCAGCAAATTTGTATTCAATTATTCTTCAGTAACGTTATCTCCCATACAATTGGAGGCCTTGTCTCTTGGACCAAGATTTTGTGACATGAACTCAAACATAAGCAGGCTCAATACTTATGTCGAGTTTGAAAATTTGATCAATCAGACTACTGATCTTGTCCCAGCTTCCGAAGAAGAATTCAAACATTTTAAGTCTACTATTCTAGACTCCTGTCAACAGTATCTCAATACAAAGTCCAAGTTCAACATTCTTTTGACCAAAGAGCATAGAGAACAACTCAACCAACTAAGACAGAACAAAGAATTGCTTATCACACGCCCTGACAAAGGTACAGGTATAGTCTTAATGGATAGAAAAGATTATATTGATAAAATGGTGGCGATTCTCTCAGATAACAACAAGTTCTCAGTATGCGAGAAAGAGAAAGACAAAACCGAGGCAACGGAAAAACAGCTAACTGAGATCTTGAGAAAGCTAAAAACTGATCAAGTTATCCCTGAAAATGTTTTCGAGAGCATTCGACCGACAGGTTCAATAATACCCCGACTATACGGATTGCCAAAAACTCATAAACAAGGTCTTCCACTGCGCCCTATTTTGGACATGTCGGGATCTCCGTATCATCCAATAGCGAAATGGCTAGCAGAACTCCTACAACCTGTTAGAGAACGAATTTCAAAACATTCTCTTCGAGATACTTTTGAATTCATCGATTGTATCAAAGATGTTAAAGTGGGAGACAAACGTATGATTTCACTCGACGTCGAGTCTCTCTTTACAAACGTCCCTATCACTGAGACGATTTGTTTTCTATGCAAATACTTGGAAGAAAACAACCTGAATATTGGAATACCTACCACTAAGCTAAAAGAACTCCTACTCAGATGTACCCTAAATGTCCAGTTCACATTCAATGGGAACCTCTATAGACAACAAGATGGCGTGGCGATGGGATCACCTTTGGGTCCGGTGTTGGCTGATATTTTCATGGCAAGTTTGGAAAATGGTCCGCTGAAAGCAACCATCGACAAATTCTTCTTATACAAAAGGTATGTTGATGATACTTTCGTCATCTGCGATAACAATTGTGATCAAAATATGGTTCTCCAAGTGTTCAATAGTTGCCACCCCGCCATCAAATTTACAATCGAAGTAGAAACCAAAGAGACAATCTCCTTTCTGGACGTTCGTTTAAGTAAGAAGACCGATGGTACCTTGAACAGATCAGTACACAGAAAACCTACATGGAACGGTCAGTTGACAAACTTCTACAGTTGGGTACCAATTAGTCGAAAGCGAAACTTGATAATATCTCTGGCGACTAGAATCCGAAAAATCTGCAGTCCTGAATCAATAGAAGAAGAGATCGCCCTCTTAAGAAAGACACTGCTCGAGAATGGCTACCCACCCCGTTTTATAGACAAGCATATTAAGCCTAAGACTTACAAAGAACAACCCACTACAGTGCAGAAGAAGATGGTCTACATGAATGTACCCTTCAAAGGTGACCTTCTGGCTGACACTTTGAAGAAGAGGATATCTACTGCTCTAAGAAGGACATTCTTCGCTGCAACACTACGACTGACATTTTCCTCCCGGCCATTGTTCTTCAACTACTCTAAAGATAAACTATCGCATTTGACCACTTCCATGTGTATCTACCGATTCACCTGCTCTTGCGGAGCGAGGTATATAGGTCGTTCGATGCGAGTTTTATCTAAAAGAGTTCAAGAACACTATCCCGCCTGGCTACGGAAAGGTAACAATGGAGCAATAAGGAGCGCCATTATTGAGCATGTACTCAACACTGGTCATTCGATTTGCAAGGAGAAGTCATTCAAAGTCATCTATAAAGAACTGTAATAAGCAAAAATATGATGGAGAAAGAACAATAACATGGAAAACATGCGAGTTTAACAGATATTTAAGAGGTTGCAAAAAGAGAATGCATCCGCACCATCGAGAACGATTTCGAACCACAACAGTAGCAGTCGTCTCTAGACATTGGTTCTTAATATCTAGAGGACCTTATACTGAAGATCAACTGGCCAGCTGGCCAGAAAAATTTGGTACCAAGAAACTCTGCAGTAGTAGAACGAACCAACTCAGAGCCGATCACTCAACAAATATGCAGGAGAAAATGGAGATGGATTGGGCCATACCTTGAGGAAACCATCGAATGACATCGCGCGGAAAGCAGGCCATCGCTCGAGTGGAATCTCAATGGGATGTAACGAGTGGGGGTAGTCAGTGCGAGGTTGACATGGAGGAGATCGTGTGGCGAGGAGGAGATGACAGATTATGGTTAATCGTGGACCTATCTAAAGAAGATGGCAGAAAATAGAAGAAAGTGGAGATGTGCGCGTGAAGTCCTATGTTCCACTCGGAACCCAAGGGAATAATAATAATGTAATACTAGGGAACCCCAACTAGGCAGTGTATATCTTCCTATGGGTCTGGCTCAAACCAACAAACAAAGATTCCTTCCTTGTATGGAATCACTACTGATGATTTAGATTCCTTATTGTTGGTGTCGTCATTAATATTAATAATAATAGTATTATTATTACTATTATTATCATTATTATTGCTATCATTATTATTATCACTATCACTACTATCATTATTTATTTTATTTTTACATTTCCTCACATATTTCCTGACTAATTTATCCGGGTAATTATTAAGTTTCAAGGCTTCTCTTATATGTATCACTTCCTGTCTTAAATTTTTCTTGGTACTACTTAGTTTTTGTGCTCTGTCACTTGAACATTTCACCAATCCTATTTCTACTGACATAGGATGCGATGATCGGAAGTCCAAATATCTGTTTGATTGTATGGGTTTCCTGTAAACACACACTAGTGTGTTTAACTTCCCATCTTCTTTCCTTTTTACGTTGCAATCTAACATTGGACTTTCCAATTCATAAGTGAATTGAATTGCCTCTACCTTCGAGTTGATGTATTCGAAAAATTTATCTATATTTTGTGTTCTAACTTTCAAAAACAACAGTCAAAGACTTGATGGATTGCTTCTAGGTTTTGATTTCACCATCCCTAACTGTTTTTTCAATCCAACTCTATGTAATTCAACATTGCTCTACGAGGAAGACAGTAGCATAGCATGAGTAACACATGTCCTAACCATCTCAGTCAATGTAGCTTTACAACCTAGTTGATTGATTTCCCTTCCTTGCCTACCACTGTATGCCTATCCTCAACATTACTCACTAATACTTACTAGTGGTGGATTAAACTCATTTTTTAGTAAATTTGGGTTATATTTAAGAATTTGCTCTTTAAAAGCATTTTTCTTAGTGTGATGGATATAGACTACTTAATGCATCGATTCTAGGTTTCTCAGAGACAATAAATAAGTGTATCATATAAGTGTACCAAAATTTCAGATTTGTAAGGGATTATTTGTGTGTTGGCGCACAGCGGTAGAGTGCTCTGCGACTACGCCTGTGGTTCGGGGTTCGATACCCGGCCACTGACTCACCCCTTTACCTCGCTCGCTAAGCCAGTAATAAGACTGGTAAATAGGGAAGGTTGGGCATGAGGTGGCTAGCAATCGCATCCCTTCCAAATAACAAAAACATTGTACATTAGGAATTTAAGGCACTCGGGTATAACTCAACCCCTCCTCTTACAGTTCATAAACTCTTGCATCCTACCTGTTCTACTTTATTGTTCACCCTTATTCTTTCCGGGTTTGCTTAAAAAGGACTATGTCACAATTCGTAGAATGCTGAAGGCTGACTGTCAGTAGGGTGAGTGGTGTTCCAGTGGACCACATAGTTAACGTCGTTGTCGATAGGCACTTGACTTCGTGCAATATTTTTAAACCTGCTAGGATTTCTATACCGCATTGACAGTACTGTGTGTAAAAAACCCACGGCAATTTTTCACTTGTATTATTATTTTATTACCTTAGCTGTTATAATTATTATTATTTGCATTTTATATGCTGCATGTTTTTGACATTACCCACCCTTATTGTAAATGTGGAAGATTTTCTGTGTGATTAATTTTTTTTTCAAGTATTGGTTTTTGTAGGGATTTTGTTTGATTGCATGGAGGATTTAATCATGAACTGACATCAGTTAGAGAACCACTGGAAAACCTGGGAGTACTGGAAAGCCGTTTCGTCCTAGTTTGGGACTCCTCAGCAGTACGCACCCACCGGGATTCGAACCCAGGACCTTCTGGTTACAAGGCTAGCGAGCTCGTAGACCATTGAGCCACTGGGACCTGATCCAATGGTTCTTGAATTCTAACTTCTGCCAGTTCACAACATAGCGCGACCACTTCGCAATGTCTTCTTCTATGAGTTACTGCCTCATCTTCGACCAGTTTGAGGAAATTAGATGCAATATTGTGTGATTAATGCTGAAAATTCCATTCTGTATCACAAGTACTGTTTTTGGAATAAAGTAAATCATTATTATTATTATTAAACACCACAGCTACCCCGAAACTTCAAGCCTGTATCTTGAAGCCCCCCCCCCCGTGTTCCACTGGGAAAGTGAAGGAATGAAAATAAAAGAGGGATTATTTCTGGCCTTATTAGAGCAAGGAAAACAGTATTATTTTTTAATTTTTTACTTTTAATTTACTTTTGATTACAGCTTGATTCCACTCTGTATTTTTGGTACAAGTATGGAATTTTCAGCATGGATATCGGTAGCCCAAATTTTGCAGACCGACCATAGATATCAGGTGTGCGTCGGCAGGGAATCGAACCTCGGACCATGTGCATAGTCAGCGAGAGTCCTAACCATTGTGCCACCGACGCACAAATAGGCCTTTGATGGCCTGGAAAAATTGCGTCTGACGACGATATTTTACGCCATCAATGCGGGGTATTGGGAGTAGTTTTCAACTATCACTAACCGCGCCTCAAATAAACTTCAATGGCTACGGTACCGCGAGTGCGCAAAGCCGGGAAATCAATTGATCCTAGTAATTTTTTTTCACATTAAAACTTTCCTCTTTTAATATGGCCTATATTGCATTTATATCAGGATTTATTTATTTGCAATATTTGTTTTGCTTTATTTTAGGGTCAAGATGTGTATCGTTCTGGAAATCATGTAGCTGAGGAATGTGATGATCGTATTCGTCGCTTGGCAGAAAGTTGTTCATTTGTGAATAGCTTTCAGGTAGTGGTAGATGCTGAAGACGGCTTCAGTGGTGTTGGCACTCGACTTTTAGAAAATATTGTTGAAGAATTTCCTAAAGCCTTTATTTTCTCAGTCCCTCTGTATCATTCATCAGCTTTATCACATATGTCTACACGTTTACAAAAGATAGCAATTGTCAATCAGCTGTGCCTTATTAACAACTTAGAGTCTGGAGATTTTATTAGCCATGGATGTTGGTTACCTATGGATGTGTCAGAGCTGTATGGTGATCATCGTCATGTTTGTCAAAAAATGAGTGTTCTAGCTTCTGTTCTCGATACAGTGACAACACCCACCAAATTGGCGTATAAATTTGGTGGTCTAAACATGAACAACCTATGGTCAGTGACAAGTTTTGCACAGGGGAGAAATGTAAGTCACTTCATTGTTTTGTGTATATTATTACTGTTATTATTATTGTTCTGTGCTGAAATAAGTGTGGAAATTTACACGGTAACAAATCACGCACACAGTGAACTACTTATAAATTCTTGTCAGTAGAAGGCGTGCCACAAAGTTTAGTGTGAAGCTTCTTATTCATTTACAGCTACCAAAAAGCTTGTATACAACCCAACAGACAGTCGGCTCCATCCCACTTTGCTACTTTAACGTGAACTGTGAGACCAGAGGCAGTTGGGCATTTTTTTTATCACGTGCCTGTGTAATAGTACGGTTAGACGTTAAATGTTAGGCAAGAATCAAAAGTTAATCGGTGAGGTTGTTAAGATTCATTGTCTGTCTGTTTTCGACATAGAACTTTGCACAAATGTGCGGAAGTTCAAGTCGCCACTCTCCCTCCATGTATCACAAAAAGCAAGAGGAGAAAGTACAAGAAAAACATAATACAGACAGTAAACAGAGGTGTGAGATAAAGGAATAGTAATAACGAAGAACAAAACAGTTTCATTTGAAATCATAAGTCACAAGGAGTGGATGCATCTGCGCCAGCCATCCATTGAGAACGATCACTTTGAGCCATATCACCAATTGTTTCCAACCATTGATTTTTACCGTCCCGAGGACCCCAGCCTGGAAGTCTACACCGTCCTACGTGGCTTAGACTAACTGTTGTGGATTTCATTGACTGGTGCCAAGTTTTGGTTTGACCACCAGCCAGACCCTATATCAGCTAACATTGCTTGTCGAGGAAGGTGATGACTTGGCATACGTAACATATGTCCTAACTATCTCAGTCTTTGTAACTTCACGACTTCGTCGATTGATTTCCCCTGTTTACCTAGCACTCAACCGAAGCCTAACCTTAACATTGCTCACCTTATTATACCACTTCACATGGGAGGGAGATAGAACGCAGGCAGCTATGATCAAAGACAGCCAATCTTTTCATGTCTTCCACTCTCAATGGCCAGGTCTCACAGCGATAAAGGAGGATGGAGCGGACTACTAAGCAGTACACCCGCCCTTTGGTCGATAGTCGGATATCTCGTCTACGCCAGAGTCGGCGTAAACTAGGAAATGCGGAACGAGCCCCATGTATTCGTGCTGAGATTTCGTCAGAGACCAACCCGTTGGCGTTGGCTGATGGTACTTCCCAAATAAGTGAAGCAGTCAATGTGCTCTACCACTTCACTTCCTATTTCTAATCTAAGAGTCGGTGTAGTCCAGTCCTGTAAGATCATCTTGCATTTGGTGGGAGCGAATCGCATGCCAACCATTCGTAGATTGTGGCTCAAGGTGTTTAGAAGACTGTGCTCAGTTTTGTCAGCGTCCTCGCCTAGGAGGACTATATCGTCTGCATATTCTAAGTCAACGAGATTATTCCCTGGTAGCAAGTCAATCCCTGAGTTGCTGAAGTCACTTAGGGTTAAGTCCATTATTACATCTATGATGAAGTTGAATAGAAATGGGCATCCCTGGCTGATGGACACCACCAGTCGTCACCAGTTCAGATGACAACTCGCCGTAAGCCGTCACCTGGCTGTATGAGTACGAGTAGATTGCCTTAATCAGTGCAATGTATTTTCTCGGAATTCCCTTTACAGCCAAGCATTTCCAGAGAACTTCGTGGTCGACAGGATCGAATCCCGCCTTTAGGTCAAGAAATATAATGACTGTTGGACGCCGGTAGGAATGCCTATGTTCTAGAATCTGTCGGAGGGTGAAGATATGATCAATACACCCTCTTCCTGGTCTAAAGCCTACCTGGCTCTCTCGTGTTTGTGCCTCCCGAGCACCACTCAGTCTACGCATGATTATTGAGCCTAAGACTTTAGATACTATATTAGTCAAGCTAATCCCTCTGTGATTACCACAGGAAGACTTGTCTCCCTTCTTGTATATGGGGATAATCAGTGACTTACACCAACCCGATGGAACTTCCTCTGATTCCCAGACGCTGCCTAGTACCTCAGTTAATGCAGATAGTAAACTTTTTCCATCGTACTTAAATACCTCTGGAGTCATTCCATCAGGTCCCGCTGTTTTGCCTTGTTTCAGATTAGTGACAGCTTTAGAAACCTCAGTTAGGGACGGATTCATTGGATTGAGGAATGTCCGCGACGCATGTTCAATTCCCGGCCAAGGCAGTCCTAAACCTCACCTCAGTATATGTGTGCAATTTGGGCACTGTGGTAGTAAGTAATTCCATATTAGTTTGTTTATTAGATATATCACAGTGAAACAGTATTATTTACTGGATGACGTTTCGAACAAAATTTATTGTTCATAAGCATATCAATTATGATCACGCGACTTCGAAACTTGAGTTTTATAGTTTTCTTTGTTGTCCTATTTGTCGTCGTAGGCGTGGTAGTAGAATCTTCCAGATATCTGGGAGAACAGGTGTTGAATCATTCCTATTACATGTATTTGCAGTTGATTCGATAAACAAAGCTTCTGTTATCAATCTCTCCCTATACCCTGTGACATTAGATTTTAAAATTGTCATCCTATCCCATCCTATCGTGTGGTTGCGTGTAATTGCATGTAGTGAGTGGTATAGTTGAACTATTCTCTAGATTTCTTATCTTATTCGAGTCAACTAAACCATATTTTGCCGCTAGGTTTCTATGATCGGCTAGTCTGACTGGCCGTGTTTTACTAGTCTGACCAATGTATTTGACCTGACAATCATTGCAGGCAGGGTGTTAGACAAACTAATTTGTTTTGCTTATGTTGGCTACGCAGGATTGATCCTTTAAGCGACAAAGTTTGTTTCTAATTGAGTTTGTGGGTTTGAATTCCAGCCACTTTTATTCCTTCCTTGTTAAGAATTCTGCGTAAGGTTTCCGAGCAGGTAACCTCGGAATGATTCAGCACCTATCCAGTTGGACATCTGGAAAATTTACTACTCCTACGATAAATAGGAGAGGACAAAGAAAACTATAAGACTCAAGTTTCGAAGTCGTGTGATTACAACTGATATGATAATGAACTTCAATAAATTGTGTCATCCAGTAAATAATACTGTTTCACTGTGTGATATATACAAACTAATATGGAATTAGTAAACCTCACCTTGCTTAGTTTATCAGCCAGTAGTAATCTCGGAAAAGAGAGAAGGTTTGGTGTGAGACTAGTAACTCCACCCCGTGAAAACACCACAATACACTGCTACTGAAAGTCAAAGCTTCAGAAATCAAGGGATGAGAAAAAATTTAAGGAAACTATATTACTATTATTGTTATTATCATTGCCCCCCCCGCATGAATCACCTGGTGCTGCCGATGGTGGGTAGACTTCAGTCTTCCTCTCGAAATGCTTTCTTGTCGCCACAGGGTCAAGGTGTAAGTCCTGTTTGCTGCCTTCACGCGGCGTGGGCATTTCTCACATAAGTGGAAGGGTGGGTGTGAGTACAAACGTCTGACTGTTACAACCGAATTGATAGATATGTTGATCTATCTGGATAAGCTGGAAAACCCTGATTCCAGACTTACAGAGCGCACATGGTATCCAAAATCCGAACGGATCGAATTGTATGTGAACACTTGTTTTAGACACCAGACACTATGGGGAGGTAGCTCCTGACGCCGCTGCTCCACTGCGTCGTGCGTCGGACTTCAAGCTGAAGGATCGGTGGGTGGGTGGGAGTTTGGCTCCTTAAAATAACCACCTGCTTGAGTCTAGTCACCCAGACAGTATTGTAGCCCATACACAAACTATGCGATTTTGTGTGATGCATCCTTTGGTGCTTCAACAACTGCCTTCGCTCAATACTCAAGATCAGATGGCCGGCCAGAAAGAATCAGCAACAGGAATCTCTGAGAGCGAACCAACCAGGAACCGATTGTGCAACAAATAAGCAGGAAGAAATGGAGGTGGATTGGCTATACTCTGAGGAAACCATCAAGTGACATCACTAGACAAGCCATCCCTCGAGTGGAACCCGAAAGGGAAGCGGTGAGTTGATCGCCAGTGCAAGGGTGACTTGGAGTGGAGGAGGTCATGTGAAGAGGAGATAAAAGCATGTGGACAGACCTGGAGCCAGGTGAAAACTTCAGCAGAGAACCGAATGCAATGAAGACGTTCGGCTGAAGCCGTATGTTCCTCTAGGAATTAAAGGAAATAATAATAATAATAAAAATCTTTTGGTGCCCATGATGTACTGCGTTCGTGTTTTAATAACAATAATAATAAACATTAAGCATGATGAATCACTGTCTCATTCAATGAGCAATGCTAGTCAGTTTCTTTCTGACTATGTTAGAAAAGAGTTGGAAGTGGTCGGATAAAAGACACAGCTTCAGTTCATACAGTCACTGACTGTTGTCAGTCCGAGATATGTAGCGAAGTATCAGCTATCTTGCTGGTTTACTAGGAATGCTAAGATTCTATAATAATAATAATATTACAATAAAGAAAAATTAGTTTCACGGTTGAATTGTGGCGAGAGCTGGTTGCAAGCCAAAATCGTAGACAACAATTTACGTCAGTGTGTTGACATCCCGAATCAGGGTCATGAGAAAAACAATAATAACAAAGCCTAACCTTAAGAAGATCGCCAGCCAATCACAGTGGAGTTAACGTGTGGAAATATGATTCGCAGAGACATGGCTTGATTTTCTAAGAAACAGTCACGAAGAGATAACAGAATAACCTTCGGCAACAAAACGACCAATCAGAAGAGGTTGCTTCTCCGCTAACAATTATGATGTACATAAAAATCTATAAATACCTCTTGGTTTTCTCAATAAACAATCTGTTGCCTGGCCATTGTCTTCTGTCGTTATGGAATTAATAAGCACTCGGTTATCTGTAACAAACATATGAAGCTAGTGTCCGGTCACCCGAGGTTAAAGTAGGTAGGTAGACGTGATATCCAGCTATCGACCAAAGGGTAGGTGTACTGCTCACCAGTCTGCTCTGTCATCCTTTATGGCTATGAGACCTGGCCATTGAGGGTGGAAGACATGAAAAGATTGGCTGTCTTTGATCATAGCTGCCTGCGTTCTATCTCCCTCCTATGTGAAGTGGTATAATAAGGTGAGAAATATTGAGGTTAGGCTTCGGTTGAGTGCTAGGTAAACAGGGGAAATCAATCGACGAAGTCGTGAAGTTACAAAGACTGAGATGGTTAGGACATGTGTTACGTATGCCAAGTCATCACCTTCCTCGACAACGGGCAATGTTAGCTGATATAGGGTCTGGCTGGTGGTCAAACCAAAACTTGGCACCAGTCAATGAAATCCACAACAGTTAGTCTAAGCCACGTAGGGAGGTGTAGACTGGCTTCCTGGTTGGGGTCCTCAGAACGGTAAAAATCAATGGTTGGAAACAATTGGTGATATGGCTCAAAGTGATCGTTCTCAATGGATGGCTGGCGCAGATGCATCCACTTCTTGTGACTTATGATTTCAAATGAAACTGTTTTGTTCTTCGTTATTACTATTCCTTTATCTCACACCTCTGTTTACTGTCTGTATTATGGATTTCTTGTACTTTCTTCTCTTGCTTCGTGTGCTACAGGGAGGGAGTGTGGCGGCTTGAACTTCCGCACATTTGTGCAAAGTTCTGTGTAGCAAAATAGACAGACAGACAGAGAGGTAGTTAGAAGTAGATAGGTCAACTAGTACGAGGAGCTTCAAAATGAAGACGGAAATCGTAATAGCAAGGGAAAGGTTCACAGATTAAATAAACAAAACGAAAAATAAACAAACGTTTCCATCCCTTTCTATTCTGCAGCTAAGGCATAAGTAGAGATTGTACATACTTCTCTTGTGTATACAAAGATGTACCTTGTATTCATGAATGGCAAATACCTCCACTGTCTTTAGAAGTTTAGAAGGAAGAAAACGCGCGGAGTTGGGATTATATATACAAGTAGTACAGCTTTTGAAATAATAAGGAAGATTTGTAGCTCAGTTGGACGATTTGCAATCAGTTGTGTTCTCTGAAGTGACTGGTTTAGTTGTGAAGCTTTCGTCGTCCTTCTGGACAACATCTTCAGCTCATGTTTTAGCATAAAATGAACTGATTTGGAAGGCATTTACTTCAATACAGATGTAAATTGACTACCAGTCACGAAGATGATTGCCAAGAGACACAATTCTATCATTCATAGAGAATTTAAATCAGTTCATTTTATGCTAAAACTTGCGCTAAAGCTGTTGTCCAGAAGAACGACAAAAGCTTCGCAATTAGACCAGTCAGCTCAGAGAACACAACTAATTGCAAATTAGTATGTGGTGAGAGCTGTCTGCAAGACAATATTGTAGACAACAATTGACGTCAATGTTTACGTCTCAAATCGGGTTCATGAGAACAAAACAAGAACAAAGCCTAACCTTGATCAACTCACCAACCAATCACAGCCGACTTAACGTATGCAAATACAATTCGCAGATATATCAATGGACTCTAAGAAACAGAAACAAAGAGATGACAGAATAAGCTTCAGGAAGAAAACAACCAATCAGAATATTGTGTTCTTGATATTATAATAATTATTGTTAATGCGCTATTTATGTTGCTTTTAAATCTTTTGTTTACATGTATTTTAGATGCTTACTGCACAAGCGGGTATTTGTTGTCACGAGAAGGCAGATGATCAACTCGCCTGGTACAACTTTAATCCTTATTATAATCAAGGGAAAAGAATCGTTGGTGAAACTGTCTTACCTCAACCAGTACTATGGCGTCAGTTAATGTCTAGAGGTGTTACAGATTCTAAACTAATGGATAATTTATGGAAGATGTGTAATGTTGTAACAGACGATACAACTAGATCTGTTAAAAATAATAATAATAATAATAATAATAATAATAATACTAATAATCATGTTAATAGTAATAATTCACTAGCAGCAGCTAATCTACATATCCCATCTTTGTATACCTCAGGATTAAGTCGTCTTGTATACACCTTGCCTAATTATCCTTTGCAGACAACATCCAGTCGAATGATGAATCAAATCAATCCACCATCATCATCATCATCATCAGCGGGAGCAGCACCACCAAATTGTCAACAATATCCAACTATGCGTACCGCATGCATAGTCGATGTGCCTAACACTAATTCCTATGAAGCGAAAGCATTAGAAAAACTAGTGAAATCATTAATACCGTATAAATCGCATCCAGTGGACACACTTATGGAATTAGAAATATGGCAAGAGTTTTTAGAGTCAGCACAAACACGTCTAATCGATGCTTATACAACTAAATAAAATGCAAACACACGGATAATACGCTTATTACACACTTATAATAATATAGAGAGGACTTATTTCTATTTTTGTCTGTCCTATAAACTGGCATTTTTTCCCCTTTGTGGTATAGATTTTCAATTGTATATATATCTATATTATAATTGAACTTATCTATGTGTTGTCTGATAATTGACGCTTCTTTCACATTCATGCCTGCTTAGATGGTTTTTGAAGTAGGAAAAAAGTAACCAGTCTCCGCTGTTTTGTTCAGCTGTGTACATAGATTGGTATTTCTTTCTTTCTCTTTATTGTAAATTGTCTCATGCATTTTCAGTTTCTAGACAATATCCAGATCGATTAAAGTTGGTCTCTAACGCAAATTATTCTCGCATTTTGAAATGAATAAATCTGTGACAGTTTTTTGTCTGCTTCCTCCTTCTTTTTTCTACGTGTTTATAACACTTCCTTCCAGATAATGTGACGGTTAGGTAAGGGGGGGGAATCAATCGGCGAGGCTGTAAAGTTACATCGATTGAATGAGATGGTTAGGACATATGTTTCGTATGCATCTCTAGCCGTTGCCTTCCTCGACAATGGGCAATGTTAGCTGATATAGGGTCTGGCTGGTGGTCAAACCAAAACATGGCCTCACCAGTCAATGAAATCCACAACAGTTAGTTTCAGTCAGGTAGGAAGGTCTAGACTGGCTTCCTGGTTGGGGTCCTCAGAACGGTAAAAACCAATGGTTGGAAATAGTTTGCGATATGGCTCAAAGTGATCGTTCTCAATGGATGGCTGGCGCAGATGCATCCACTTCTTGTGACTTATGATTTCAGATGAAACTGTTTTGTTCTTCGTTATTACTATTCCTTTATCTCACACCTCTGTTTACTGTCTGTATTATGGATTTCTTGTACTTTCTTCTCTTGCTTTGTGTAGTACATAGTGTGGCGACTTGAACTGGTGCACATTTGTGCAAAGTTCTGTGTAGCAAAACAGACAGACAGACAATGTGACGGTTAGGGAATTCATTACATTACTTTGAAAATAAGTGATTCCCGGTTGTTCTGTTTGCTGTTTTATTCTATGAGTTTGCTGAAATATAAATTATGTACAGATGTAGGGACTTATTGTTATTAAGGCTTTAATTACATATCTTCATTTCACGGCGTTTTCTGCAGGCTTCTTTAACTGGCTCCACAACTGCCCAAAAAGTTTTGATTAACCTCCTCACAAAATCTCCTCCACCATGTCACCATCGCACTGAAATCCAAACTCGTCTGCTCTCATTCGAGTTCCATTTGAAAGCCCGACATGCGATGTTACTAGTCCAATGGTCATCTCTCCAGAGGAGTATGTTCAGTCCATCTCAAATTCCTTTTGCACTGTTCCCAACCAACAGTGGAATTAGACACGGTTGCCCGATCTCTGCATTTCCCGTTAACTTTACCATCGATGACATTCTGGAGTCATCTCTAAATGACGTGCCTGAAGGCGGTGTGTGTTGATCTGCTCCATGGAGAGAGACTTTTCGACCTCGAGTATGCAGACGATATCGTCTTACTGTGAGATAGAATACACTGCCAAAATCGTACTTAATCAGTTGGCGATCAGTGTCAGTGTCTGTAAGTATGGCATGTACTTCGCGCCATCTAAGTGCAAAGTGCTGTTACAAGATTGGTAGGAGCACTTACTCTCGCAAGTGAACCTCTTGAAGTTGTTGATAAGTTTGTGTCTGGGTAGTTGTGTGAGTCCTGGTGGAGGGGTGACTGATAAGATTTACAACCGTATTATGAAGGCTAGGGTGGTATACGTTAACTTGATACACCTCTGGCACCATCGCGACTTTAGCCTGGCTGTCAGAGGTTGGGTATACAATGCTTCGGTGCGGACTGTTTTGCTCCTCACCTGTGAAACCTGGCCTCTCCGAGCTGAGGATGTGCGGCGACTCTGCGTGTTCGATCACCGCTGTCTCCGCAGGATTGCTTGTGTTCGCGTGAGTAATTCTGAGGTTTGATGGCGTGTGTTTGAAGACATTTGAGATCACCATTCGTTGAGTGTCGTCATCTGGAAACACCGGCTTCGGTGACTGCTTGAAAATGTGTTACGAATATCACTTCAGAGGTTTCCGTACAGGTCTCTGTTCGCTAGCCGTGGGACGGGATGGAAAAGGTGGAGAGGTGGTCAGCCCATGATGTGGCGTCTTGGGATGAAGGATATTTGTGTTGGGTTAGCATCGGTTGGTTGAAGTCCAAGAGATAGCTAGTGTCGGTGGCTCGAAACGTTATCGGATATGGCCAAGAATTGTAATCAATGGCAAACGTGATGCAATTTCCTTATTCATTTAGACATCCATAAAACACAAAATAATTGAGCATAGAATATCCTTTTCGATAATTTCTTCTTCTGGCTCTACAATTATATATATATATGTTTATATGCATCGAATATTCTAGATTAGTAGTCAGTAACAATATTAATGTTTTTTAAATAATATCGATTTGTAAAGTAAGATCATTGCAATTACAATGCATTAAAGATGTTTAAATTATAATAATAATAATAATAAAGATATAGTAGCGAATAGAATATCAACTAAAATGAGGAAAATTCCCCAAAAATTCAGTATCATTCAAACCTAGATGGTCAATGTAAAGATGATGCCTGAACTAACTACTTTTTTGGATGCACAAATTAGGCTTATTAATATGGTTCCCCACAACCTCAGCAATATTTAGTAGTCGATCTCATAAGGCGAAATTGAGATTGGTAGGTGTGAGGTAAATGACCCTGAAAGCATGGTTAACGTCAATCTTGTGTTCTATATCCACAAGATGAGACAGAATAGCTCTGCGAATAGATTTTGTTTGTCGTTTGCTTAACCACGCAGGGTGATGTTCAGAAATTCGACGAGAAACACGCCTAATTGTACGGCCTATGCACGCAACTGGCTCACTCCACAGGAGCAGTTAAATTGGTAGATACACATGGAAGAGGCGAAATTAGGCAGTTTGTCTTTTACTTCTGAACGAAAAATAGGGATGGGTGGTTTTGAAGACACAGCGTAATTTGGCAGCAGAGAATGCTCTTTTTACCGCCTCATTTCTAAGGCGTTGTGTTAATATCTCGCTGATATTGTCCCTGAGGAAGTGAATTTGTATGAATACGGCCTTTCTAGGAACTGTTGGTACCTTGGGCTGCTTTGATTTTAGGTTTATATCCTTATAAATAAACTTTACTAAAAGACCCGGTGGACCCGACTGAACAAAATAATATAATTTACAAAATACCTTGGAATGGCTGTGAATTAAGACAACTACATAGGTCAGACTAGCAGATCAGGAGTGGTGAGATTATCAGAACATGGAAATTTATCAAAGGTTAGGAGGATTGATCCCACGGTGATAAGTAATTTGGAAAAAAACTAAATGATTGCACTGCATGCATCAACACACAACCACACAATAGCTTGTGAGAGGGCTAAAATTCTAGAAAGTAATACAGGTAGGTGGAGAGAGATTGATTACTGAATCCTGCCTGCTTCATCGAGTCTACAGCCAACACATGCAACAGAAATGACTCAATGCAAATACCAGAAATATGGAAGATGTTATTGTCGCCAGTCAGTCAAATCAGAAGAGGATAATACATAATCTCAAAATTCTATTTCAACTCAATTCAAGCACATCGCAACATTCTAACAAGTTACTTATTGTAACTATAAAACACTCGTCTTATTTCTCATCTGATTGTAATTGATCAATAACACTCATATTGTGATGAGAGCTGGCTGTTAGCCAAAGTTGGTGGACAGTAAATTACGGCAATGTTTAAGTTCCCACTATTGGTCGTGAGAAAAATGAGAACAAAGGCTTTGCGTAGGCGGATACAGTTAGCCTACAGATGATCTGACATTCAAGAAACAGTCAGAAAGAGATGTAAGGTTAACTTTTTATGAGAAACAACCAATCAGAAGACTGTGTTTTTCTGCTAACAGTAATCTATGATAATGTACGTAAAAATCCATAAATGTGTGTTGATTTCCTTAATAAACGATCTGTTGCCTGGCCCTTGTCTTTTTTTGTTACAATATTATTTTTTCTGAATGTAGATTATCCTATATTAATTTTTATTCCAATATCTAATCATCAATTCCACACATGTCTATAAATGAAGGAAAAAGTTGTGTGAATAGCTTGATATGATTATGAGTGGCAATAGTTTGTGCTCGAAACGTGGTCATCATTTAATATTACTGTGTAACACTGTGTGACTTATCAAAATAAAATCTTATGCATAATGGAATATGATGTACAGTTATGGTAACATGCATTTGCATGCACATGTCCTTTGGTCTTCGCTTTAATGTTTTTTCAATGCTGTTTCATGCAAGGCGCTTTCATTTCTCCTCTTCATCAACATTTAATCCATCAACCCGATATTCAATATCCTTGTAGAAGAAGCAACACACTATTTACAAATCCTTGTCAGTAGTGCATTTCACAAAGACACTTAATTACTGACCGGCTTCCCATCCCTTATCAGAGAGTGTGATCGTCTTAGAAGACTTGGAACAACTGATACCTTGGCGCTGATGGGGTGTGACAATTTGAAGTCTAAATATTTATTGGAGTGGGTTTTCTTCTTGAATATGGATATACTAAAATGTCCGTTTTTCCTTCTCCCAACTAGCCAGACAGTCTAGAAATGGTAGTTCACCGACGTCTGATTCTGCCTGATTCCGAAGTGAACTGGATTCTGGGAGATAGACTGTTTATTTTCTCCAAGAATTGTTTATTTGACAAGATAATAAAAACTTTACATTGAAGCTTTAAATTACAAGAAGTATCCCAATTCCGACTGTTTTACCTTTACTTCATACTTTCTGTATTACTTCGACACTATCTTTATTTCTTGTCTTTGTAAATTTATTCATTACGCCGTTATAGAGGATACTTGCAAAATAAATCACACAATATACTACTTACAACGCCTTGTCAGTAGTACATACCAGAATCATACTTATCAAATATACTTATAGGATCTTCCTTTACGTCACACATTACCTTTGAATATAGAAGGGAAGAGGACACCGTGTGACATATATTCGCCACTGACTTCGGTTCATGAACACTCGTCACTTCCCATTTGGATTCCACTTCAGCTATTGCCTGCACTGCTCCATCCTCATTTTCTCCTGCATATTTGTTGAGAGATCGGCTCTTGATTGCTTTGTATCACTGCAGAGTTTCTTGTTATTAATACTTTCTGGCCAGCTGGTCATTTTATCTTCAGTAGGGTATAATAGTCTATGGCTTGAAAATTGTTATGGTGACCTAATTAGAGGTCAAGTATAGATTTCTTTCTCTATTTGCTGTTAAGCAGATATAATATAGCAGACTTAATATTCACCCATTCAATAATAACGTTTATTGTAAGGTTGTTGCTTAAGTGTTATTTCGATGCACTGATAGATAATCCCAGAGCTACTAATACTACTACTACTACTACAACTATTATTATTAATCAGTTGGCGGTCAGTGTCTGCAAGTATGGCATGTACTTCGCGCCATCTAAGTGCAAAGTACTGTTACAAGATTAGTAGGAGCAC